CCGCCTCTGCGACTGACAGTTGGTGGCGGTTACACACCACTAATATTCACCCACCATCATTACGAAAAAAGGTATCCAAAATATGTTCAGCCACACAACTACGCAGCTGGATCTACAACACTGTCTGTATCATGAGCCAGGTGCCTATATTGTTTGCAACAGCATCTATAATTATCATCTGTCTAATTGCCAGTCTAAAATAACTTCTCTTGCAGGAGTGAGTACCGTTACATATGTGCGTAGGCTTGAGGGCCCAAAGAGGAAGTTAATAAAGAAGCATAGCTGAATGTCCACCTTAAACTACTTATTTACTTTTAAAGATAATCTGGTCTGGAAGCAAACAAACATGAGAATGAAATTATAAGGTAAGAGTAGAGTTATTCTGTACCCCAAAAGATCTGTAATTCAATGCAAAGTCTAGGTACAAACTGAATTTAATATAAGAACTGTAGAGTAATATCTTCCAGTATAATCTAAAAGCAAGGAAAAGTGAAACATGCTAGCCTGTAGCTTTGAATGGATGAGCCATTGCACCATCAATACTACCTCACTCAAATACAACCTAAAACCAGGCTAAAAGCAAAGCACAACTGCTAAAAATGTATGTGCCCCATTTATTCACACAAGCTACAGTGATCTCAATTTCGCATGAGATTTGCTTATGGAGGTGCACAGGTCTCTTCTTCACTGACATAATTTTCAGAATCTGAATCAGCAATTTCAGCACCTTTATGTTTTGTTTCTAGTGTTTTCCCCAAACAAGCTGAAGCTAAACATTTAACTGTGCATTTCATAAGCATTTGCAAAGTAAGTCCAACAATTTAGAGGCTTGGAAAAAAGCAAAACAACAGAACAAAGCCAACTTGATAGCTGTAAAGCCTGTCTTCAGCTATTTATACTGCATTGATCCCCAGCTCAAGCATTACCTTACTGAAATTTCTTGCTGGTATATTTACTCAGAGAATCAGAATCCTGGTCAGTTACTTAAGTTATATTGCACCTTCACTGACAAAAATTGACCACAGTTTGAAGACACAAGGACATAAGATGAAAGACAGAAACATGATGTGGTCGTAATTTCAGACCCAGAAATAATTTGTGCAATCAAGTATAAAATCAGTAATGCCAAGTTCCAAAGTTTGTCATCTGGCTAGTTTGTCAACAACCCTGAGGCAAACGGAGTCCTGAAGATTGCAAAATTGATTCACACCTGATGCTCAAGCAGGAATGGCATGACCTGGAACAACTAGTTAAGTTTTATTGCCTTCAGCTATTTGCACCATTACAACATATAGCGCAGTGCCGTAAAGCAAACAAGTGGTTGTGGTGGTTCAAGATATGATGCTACATGCTTCAGTGGTCTTGCAGCTGTTGGACTGTTCACCAGGGGCTGGACAGACAGACTAATATAACTGGTCTCATACTGTGCCATTCCCACCTAATGAGTAAGAATCCTGAGAATACAGACACACAAGAAAAACTCGGCTGCAAACCTTCAGTGTTTGACATCACCCTCATTTTCTCACTATTAGTTTTTTTTGTCTTTACTATGGAAAAAGTAAGAGGTAATGTTATTTTTAGCCTTAACATTAAAATGCTCCATTTGAAGGTTCCTCCATAAAAGGAACTGTTATTACCTTTACTGTAAATTTGAGTCACTAGTATGTCTGCTGAAGGCCCAAACTTCCTCCAGTCCATCAGTTAACCTAGCTTCTAGGTACGGATTTGTGTAAACAAAGCTGTGTGAAAAATAGCTGAATTTAATGAACAGCGATTAGAACTGAAGCACTGTCTTAGAGTCGCAGACCTGGAAAATACAATGGCTTCATACAGCCTACAGCATATGTAAACTTGTGTTAGGGAGAGCACCGTGGGGAAAGGGGCATATGTAGTATTACAGCAGTATCTGGAATGCAGCTCTGATGAAAATCAATGCTTAGTATTCCAAACGTTTCAGAGATTCAGAGTTCAATGATCACCTATAATAAATCTGTGCATAAAGTAATATTTTTTCATTACAGAATTAAAAATGAAATTGTAATTCCAGTGTATGTGGCAGCTCCAAGTCTACCTATAGAAGACCTCTTCATGCTTCTTTCTCTCAAGCAAAAGTTTAAAGTTGTCTATGCCAGATTATATTGCATACTAACCAAATAAGAGAAATTCTTGTCAAGCAAACAGACACTAATCTGAAGTCTATTCAAAATAATTAATTGGTTCTTTCTTTTCTCCATTGGAGGAGATATGACTGAACTTTCATCAGATAGCATTCTTCAGTGCAAGTATTAATAAAAGCAAAGATTCAATCAGCATTTTTACTCACCAGAATGTCCTTCAGCAACAGATTCTGAGGTAAAAAGAAAGCGTTCTTCTTTTTTAGAGGGATGAATTGACATGTCTCAGTGTCTTTAGCAAGCCTGCAAATGAGAAAGACCCAAACTGGACTACAGAACAAGCACAGGCAGAAGGTGAAGTGGAAAGGTTGATGTATCTATGCAAACAGCTGATATAATTGCTTCTGCATGTTTGTTCCTCAGAAGTTCAATAGATAAGACCAATCTGTGTGGATTTTACAATGCACTGCTACAGAAACTCCTTTCATAAGACTTTTGTGTTTGGTTAACCTTGGTCCTGCTAAACTCTGCAGAAGTGTTACCATTATGTGAAATGTGAACACAGCTAAGCCAGGGTTCAGTGCTTTTGCACACTTCCCCAAGCCTCCATTCTTACTCTTTCTTCTAAGTGCTCACTAAAAAGCACTTCAAGGTAGTAACACAGCACAGAAATTTTATTTGAATTTGTAAGGGCAAATGACACTTTCTCCTAGGCATAATATCCATACATTGTACTCAGCTGCAGTAGTGAACTGTGCAGAAGCGTATCTCTCTTTATGTGAGAACAGATGTTCATAATAGCTCCAGGTGGTAAGCTGTGCTCTTCTTCCTGAATACTATTTGTGTCAGTGGCTAAGTGAGGAGCTGTAAAGCAACCAACAGCATGCTCTGTAGAAACAGCGATGAAGACAGTGGGTTCATTGTAAGTTACTTTGCATTCTGAGACTAAAAGCTATGCCCTAGCTAAATAAATCTTAAACTTGCCAATGGTCAGGCTCTCTCAATTCATTTTACAGACCCCTTTCCTCCTACCATTTGCCTTGATGAAGAGATAGTAGTAGGAAACAGCTGGACTCAAGTATCTAAACTAAGTGAAGAAGCCCTGCCCCTTTGGAAGCACTGTTTGCCTTTGATTTATTTCAGAATGCAGTGCAACAGCACACCAGAGCACCCGAGTACAGCATAGTGTTGCAAAGCTACCTAGGAACGACAACAGGTGCATCTGGTCTTAAAAACCCTTGTCCTGCTGAGCAGCTCTATACTGCTGCAATACCTTATGTTGAGCTCAGCTTCTCTAAATCAGTAGTCATTTCTGAAAATGTTGCTCCATAACCTAAGCGTGTTAAACAGTAACAAGAGTGGTACTGAGACACAGGTACAACTTCAGCTACAACTGAAGGCTTTACTACGGGCCATCACAAGCAAACCACATCCCCTACCAAGCCACCAGCAAACATCTCACAAGAGACGTGTGTTCATTCTGCAAAGAAGTCTTCGCTGCTAGGAAGCAGTGTGCCTTCACTTCAGGACACTTCCCAGTAGTGAGGTATATGAGGTAATAAAAGCAGTAACGAAGGCAAAGCACTTAGACAAATGAGTCAAAGCCAGCCCTCAAAAAAATAAAGCAAAATTGTATTTCAGCTGCAAGAATGACCAGAGAGAGCATGGCCTAACTGTGGTAACTCAAGGGGTAGCTAGTGTGCTGCAACAGGCCAGTCACCTGCAGTGAAAACCACCACTCTACAGAGTGATACATGGAGAGGTGACTTGGTTGGAGGAAAGAGACCATCTGCACCCCTTTTGGTTTTGCCTTTTTTTTTTAATCGTAGGAACAAAAGTTTTCAGCACATAACACCAAAAAACACTAGAGAAAAGAGGACGATGATTGCTTAAGTGTGTGTGAAGGAGAGCAATAAAGAGGAAGACTATAAACCACAGTTAAAGATTATCAGAAGTGCCCTATGAAATCCATTAATTCATCTATTTCATTGCCTTGAATTTAGCTTCAGAATTTATTATGATACAATACAAAATTAAACTAGTCATACAGAGATTTGTGTGCCTGGAGGTATTTCAATTCTGTGGAATAAATACTCTTTGACCTCAAGTTACATGTTCCATAAAACACTTCATACAAAGTATAGCAAAACATTCATATGAAGAATTTCAGTTTCCTCCATCATGAATTCATATTATGCTGCATTCTAAAATACTTGTGCTTTACATTGTGTCTTATACACTATTCTCATTCAACATATGCTCCTCAGCATGTTTTATAATGTAGGGTATACATATACACCAACCCCAGCCTTGAATGTAAAAGAAAAAAAAAAAGACAATACAAAGAACAGTCAACCTTTGTAAGTGAGAAACCAAAAAAACAGGGGCAAGAGACACCAGAGCAGAGGGGAGAGGTGCCAGGGTAGGAGGTACGTCAAGGCAGGAAGATGCTGGAGAAGAAGGAGGCACAAGAGAAGTTGCCTGAGCAGGACTAGAGCAGAGAGACACCCACCCAGGGGCATATGCACAAAAGCAGACACAGGGCAGGTACTCCTCCGAGGGCTCTGCAGACAATGGAGGAACCCATGCCAGAGGAGTGGAGACAGAAACATGGGGGAGTGAAAGGAAAGCAATCACAACACACTGAGCTCAATCTCGTGCTCCCCATCGCCTCACCCAAGGGACTGAGGCCAGGAAGCAGGGAGGAGAGGTGTCCAGAGGGAAGTTGGGCTGTTTTCCCTAAGTGATCTTTTGTCTTCTTTATTTTTCAATACTAGAATCAGTAATTAAAAGTTTGTTAACTGGCAGTAAATTAAGTCAAATGCCCTGCAACAAAACTGTTCCGTTGCCTGTGACAGTTGGGTTGTGTTTTACAAGGCAGCTGTCCCAGCCAAGATTCATCTATCACTGGTGAATTTGTTCAAGGAATATCAATTGTTTCTGTAAGAGTCATGTTTTCCTTTGCCTCTTTTGCTGATGTTTCTTGACCAAGTGTAAAAAACACCATCAGTGTCACCAGATTCAGAAAGCTGCTATGGAAAATGGAGAGATGAACTAGAAGACCTTTTAAAGATGGGATTACTTCAGCAGCTGAACTTTCAATACTGCTCTGCATCCCAGGAGCTCATGAAAAAATTACTGTTGGAGCCACAGAACTGTACTTGTCCCAGCTGAAGTCCATGCATATTCTGCTTATATTTGGCACACCAATTCAGTATTTCAACCAAAGGCTTGCCCCTTTTTGTTTTACAAATTTATTTTTGCTGCAGTTCTGCCATTTTCTCTCATCATCTACACAACACTTCAGTTCAACTTACTTATGAAAAGAGATTGAATTCTGAGATCTCACAGCTGAAGTGTCTCTTGTGTCTCAGTCACTTCTGTAATCAGTTCAACAATGCGTGCTCCAGCTCAGACCACTCACGTCAGCCCCAAATGAAAATGCCGTTCATTCACATACCCACCTCAGAAAACTTCTGCAGAACAAATGCTGTTATGGGCAAGTGTATTCAGGCCCTTCTCTCTGGACTGTTTCTGGCAGTCCACCAAGATGTCCCAAGGTGATTTCCCTGCTTGTTCTTTGCTAAGGCCCATTGCTAGCGCCTGACAAGAGTCTCCCCATACGCATGTTAAGAAGCTACTTGGCTACCACTTTTTTCCAGGTGAGGCCTCCCAGCTTTTCAGCTTTTTTCTCCAGCCTCTCCTTGCTTCTGAGTGCAGCCAAGATTCCCAGCTTTTCTCACATTCTTCTTTCCAGGAAGACCACTCGAAGTTTCAGGCATATCATGCTCTCAGGCTGATCGGTTCTGGCATATAGGCAGGTCTACAGCATCCACCCACTTCCTTGCAGACCCCAAGTGGTTTAAGAGCTGACTTCCAGCTGATGTAGAAACACCTCTCTTGAGCAGAGTCTGGGGCACAGCTGAGTGATTTCCACAGGTTCTTCCAACTATTGCCTAGATCGTATTGTATTATTTCCAACTCCTACTTATGAATTTCAGAGATTTCTACAGCAGTTCTAGTGTATCTGCTGGACTCTTCCTTCCCAAGAGTCTATTACAAATTCATTCAAATTTGTAGTACGTACTCAGCTGTGTATTTCTGATCTGGCCTCTGTACTCTTAGCTTCAGTTGATACAGGAACTGAGGAAAATCAGTTACCGTTTACTGCAGGCAGCATCCTGTACTACAAGAATGCAGTATCATGATGTTTTTCAGTCTAGAACATCTTGGATATCTAATTCCCATCAGTAAGCTGAGCCAATTGTTTATGAATTAAACTGCATTCTCAACATATTTTCAGATTGGAATTTGTCCAAACCTAGAACATTTTCACCCCATCAGAGTGTGTTTTTGCTCTCTGCAATTTGAGTTCTTCACATGAAATTTGAATTCTCGGCTTCTTCTCTGGATTTCTCTTATGAAATCCATTATTTAGTGAACAGCCTTTCTAGAAACTGAAAATACAAAGTTTGTGATGACAAAGACACTGCCAGACAAAATCTATCACAAATTCAGGTATGTTTCCTTTGAAGACCCTGATTCTCTTTCAGTTACAGCAAAAGATTTTAAAAATGCAAATATGTCATAGAATCATAGAATCATAGAATCATTGAGGTTGGAAAAGACCTCTAAGATCATTGAGTCCAACCATCGACCCAACACCACCACCCACTAAACCATGTCCCTAAGTGCCTCATCTACACGTCTTTTAAATACCTCCAGGGATGGGGACTCCACCACTTCCCTGGGCAGCCTGTTCCAATGTTTAACCACTCCTTCAGTAAAGACATTTTTCCTCATGTCCTGTCTAAACCTTCCCTGGCGCAACTTGAGGCCATTTCCTCTCGTCCTATCGCTAGTTACTTGGGAGAAGAGACCAACACCCACCTCGCTACAACCTCCTTTCAGGTAGTTGTAGAGAGCGATAAGGTCTCCCCTCAGCCTCCTTTTCTCCAGGCTAAACAGTCCCAGTTCCCTCAGCCGCTCCTCATAAGACCTGTTCTCCAGACCCCTCACCAGCCTCGTTGCCCTTCTCTGGACACGCTCCAGCACCTCAACATCCTTCTTGTAGTGAGGGGCCCAAAACTGAACACAGTATTCGAGGTGCGGCCTCACCACTGCCGAGTACAGGGGCATGATCACTTCCCTACTCCTGCTGGCCACACTATTTCTGATACAGGCCAGGATGCCATTGGCCTTCTTGGCCGCCTGGGCACACTGCCAGCTCATGTTCAGCCGGCTGTCGACCAGCACCCCCAGGTCCTTTCTTGCAGACCTTTTTATGTCTCTGCAATAAAACCACTTTGCAACAGTGTTTGAATCACTTCAGTTAGAGCACAGCTTGACTGGAAACTATAAGCCCTATATATTCCAAATAGACGGTCATTATGGTATGAACGAAACATGCCAACAGAATACAAACCTGAACATAAACCATAAGCCTCCAGTTCACAGCTCCAAAGGACAGAAGGTGGCACATAAAACAAAGGCCAAATGGTTTGAAGTGATGGGACAAGGCTGGTTAGGCTGGTACAAAACAAAACAAAACAAAAACAAGGGGGAAAAAAGTTACTTTGGAATTCAGATACAGATTTTAAAGTATCATTTATAAACAAAGCTGAGACTCTCCAGACACTACAGGCTCTGGTAAGTGTTATCTTTGGTGTATATACATCAACTGTAAAGAGCTTTGGTGGCGCATAACACATCAACACATCATTTATGACACTATTTCTTCCCCTGGAGCCCACCAACTCATGTCACCTGTATCAGCCATGAACTTTAAGATTTCAAGACACCAACACAGACATCCCCAGATGTAAGGAAAATCACCCTTAATTAATATGTATTTAGTTATTTCCAACAGCAGCACGAGTTACCCCTTGAAGTGCTCCTCCACCTGCACCCACGGCAGACCCATCAGCACTCCCCTCATGAGGAGGCCGGCGGCTCCCGCCTCCCAGCGCGC